AGTATTTTGTAACCTCTAGAATACAAGCTTTGTCTTGTAGAGGTTAACTTTTAAATACCAAGCAAGAAGGAAACAAAACTTTTTTTTTTCTTTCTGCAAAACAGTGAAGTTCTTTGGATTAACTTGAGGGGGAAAAAAGCACGTTTGAAAATCGCCTGAGGCGTTGTCATTGCCATGTCCTTGAGGGATGTAATATCTTGCATTCTAAAATTACGAAGCATTCGTTTATTATTCACCACGAAGCTGTTTTATTTATTTATTTCCACTCTGACAGATATCGTTCCAACACAAATGCAACCCCTACTACATGGTTGTCAGCTTTCTTTATTAGCTGTGCACGAGAAAACCTCTGGAGTGCTGTTGTGTTCAAGTGTGGTGATTAAAACAAAACATATCAATCAAAGTTGCTGATCTCATGAATCACTCTGAAAGAAGTCACCTCTAAACACGGTCCCACAGCATCCATTAGACTTCCTGCGCTCAACTGGCAAATCCTGTTCGACTGAGTGACAGTTAGCCTACATGACCAATTTCATTTTGCTGCCAACAACATTGCGGCGAGTGCTCAACCTGACCACTGTCTCAGCTTTTCCGGGCCGCTGCTCTAACACTTCTGCTCACAGATTTCCTCAGGGACTCCAGCCTATGGAGGGCAAGCCTTTTCTGCCTTGTGGCATACCTGAGCCCACTGCCTATGACAGCGCCGGCATTAAGAATGTGTCAGGAATTCAACTGGCTTTTGAAAAAGATGTGGCTGAATTGGCCATGATGGGCTACAGATCCTTTCTTCCCAGCGGCCCGAATGTTGCCTAAGAATAATCAGATTCACTGGGCTGTAAAAGGTCCTATAGACGTATTCTCTACAATTTGTTTTTTGGAACAACAAAAAAAATCTACCATTTATTTGCACCGATGTCTCGATTCATTGTTTTATGGCTTAAAGCTCTCATAACTCTTAATGTTGTTTATGGCTGTGGCAGGCAGCTGTTAAGCAGAGAGAATACTCTAAAACCCGACTGAGAGCCCAAAAGAAAACAGAGCAGCTGGCTAAACATGGAGAAGCGTATAGCAGACACATTCTCTCAGAGACTGCAGACATGGAAATCAGAGATAACTGAATAAGTTAAGAAGTTCATAATGCAGATGTATGGTAGCCTGTTTGCCAAATATGTTATTGTGTTAGTTACAAAGATTATGATATACAGTCACCATAACTAGGCATAAAATGATACATTCATCTCAGTAATCAGTATTATTGGGATCCCAATTTTATCGTGGAAGATCAGTCAAACGTTTAAAAAACTCCTAAATAAATAAGGATGTTTTTAGTAATCTTGAAATACCTGTTCATATTTTGTGTTTTTTAAGTTTATCTAAAGCCTTCTCTCATTCATAATTCACTGCATGTAATTTGTTGAAACTACATAAATTTCAACGCCTGTTTGAAAGATTTTCCTTTTAGGTTTTATCGGCCTAAATATTTTGGATGTTAAATGACTGGTGGTCAAATTCATAAAAAAAAATCATTCAAAAAAGTAAAATAAACAAATATCTCCCCCGTGACTTTTTATTTCAGCTTAGTAAGAGTAATGCTATTCTTACTTAGCTAACAAATCAGTTTTATCTTCTGTTACTCTACCAATAATTTGTTTTTGTTTTTCATGTTGTTATGACTTCCACATTATACAATAATAGTTCAATAAAATGTGGTAACATCTATTTCCACATAGCAAAAAGTTAAAGCCTGACTGCCAAAGTTAAATATTTTTATAGGATCATTAAAAAAGTAATCAAAATGAAGAAATGCTACTAGTGGCAATAGCAATATTTATCACTAATGTGATGTTTTTATAGCTAGAATTTTGTGCTTTTTATGGTTATTTAGGGTGCACTAGATAACCATAGTAATAACCAAAGTAAATGCGTTTGTGTTTACTTTGAATAGCATGCTGGTTTTTGTGTATTTTCTATATACATAACTGTCCCTGCCAAACATAAGACTTAAAATTACAAACGTAATTTAAACACAAGTTGTGTTTTGGGTAAAAATGAATTTACAGAGAACAAAAATTTCAACGAATCTATGAACACGGGCATCAACACCTTGGTCAAAAAAATATGAAATATGAGTATGCTAAAAGATCTTTATTTACCAGTCGCTAAGAGTGCTTCTATTAACTGCTGCCTTTATATTTTCACCACACGTGCAGCTGCTTCAGTCTCCGTCTCGTGTCCGTCCTTAACTCATATGACACAAGCAGCTGCTGGAGCTCCAAATCTCACCAGCTTCACTCAGTGACCTGAACAAGTCTGCATGTTGCTGGATCCAAACGGAGAATCTGCAGTGTGAATGCTGTCTGATAGACTTTTCAGCTAGCACACTGCTACATGGGTTAACACGCGAACAATAGGAAATGTTAATGTTGCTGGTTTTAAAAGTCACCAAAAAGCTGGCTTTCAAAGTACAACAGTGTTTACAGATAACAACAAGATGTATGCTGGCATTATCCTTGATGGGATGATATGCCACACTAGATCGTCACAGCTTTTACTGGTAATACTTCAACGTTTAGTGTGTAGATGTGACCGAACTGCTGATGTGTTTTCATTACACCAATACAGTCATTTTCAATGAGAATATGTTGATAATCTGTGTGTGTGTGTGTGTGTGTGTGTGTGTGTGTGTGTGTGTGTGTGTGTGTGTGTGTGTGTGTTGTGTGTGTGTGTGTGTGTGTGTGTGACTGCTGTCCACATGTTTCAACTGATGAAGATCTATCCATGATTGAAATGTTATTAATGAAGGCTGTGAAAATCAAGTGATACCACTGCAGGGCTTTTCATAAAGAATTCGAATGATCGCTTTGCAGTCGAAGAAAAAAACAGAACTCAAGGCGGGGTTATATTTTAATATAAGAGAATCCCAATAAACTCAAGGTGAAACCATTTTCCTTTGTCATATAGAAAATAATTATGACCCGCTGTTGAATTAGCAGCTTTAGTTTATTGCACTAGAGGGAAAAATGAGATGCGGCTGCAAAGGGAGTCAGCACTCTGTTATCCCGACAGTTTAACTACATGCCGTACTCCTGAGATTCCTTCACCAGATTTAGCTGCAGATGCTGTTCAACCTGTTGAAGACATAAAGCAGAGCTGACAGAGTTGCTTACAGGCACAGAGGATGAATCATTTGTGCAACAAACCATAAGTGGAATGACCTAGACAGATTCTTCAATTACTCAAAACCACGTACAGCCTGGCAGCGGGTTAGCAAGAAGAACTGACTAAATGGTTCCCGCCTGTAATTGTATTGGGAGCCAAGTGTGCAAACTAACTCAGCAGGTGACCCAATTTTTCACAGCGATGTTAACAGATTAGGCTTGATTGCAAAGTAGATATGCATAACAAGTGCAAATATATAGAACAGCATCTATGCAAGCTGAAGTTTCAGAGTAAAATTAGCGTAGATGCACAGGCATCTGTTTGCATCATTGACAGCAAAGTAGTGATTACAGATCTCACCAGATATTTGCTTGCATTGTGAAAAAAAAAAAAAAACATTTTTCTTCTCAATTAGATCCATCAAATCAGTCGTGTTTTCGGAAGGTAGAGTTGCCAAAATATAATTATTTATGTTTGCAAAATATCAGAATGATTAGCAAGCCAGTTTTTAAAGCCAAATTTGGAAATTTACCTGGATTTTCTTATTATTTAATTGCATTTTCTTTTAAACTGTTTGATTTGATAAGTTGAAATGTTGGCTTCCTGCTAGAACTGTTGGTTACAACTTTTCTGTTCACAATATCACAAATCTTCTGCTATGTTTGATTCTTTGCCCATTTGGAAGACACATTTGGACACTAGCTTTAGTATTTTTCAAACTGCAATATGTTTTGTTGTTGTTGCTTTCGGAGTAATGGCTTCTTCTTTTCTGAGTGGCCATTCAGCAGAATAACACTGTTTCTCTGTGGATAATGACTTTTTCTTATCAGCTTTTTTTGCACAGCTTTCCAACACCGTGACACAGAATTCTTCTAATTTCTGAACATTTTCATGCTATTTAGTCTTGCAAAACATTGTTTGAACAGATTATTGTGGCATCGAGAAATTTTACCTAAGAATGAAACAGAGCTGTGAGGATCAGCAATTTTGCACCTTATATTTTGTTTGGTTTCATTAGATTTTTTTTTTTTTTGCACATGCTATAAAATGCATCTAATGTATAAATGTTGTGAATTAACCTGTAAGAAGTTCACAAAGCTATAGCATCATAATATGAGCTTTTCCTAATTACCTATAGGCATTATAAACTGTGTATTGTTACACACAAAATTATCTATATCTCTGGCAGATTAAGATTGAAAATGATACCTTATCTTATTTTCACATTTTATTAAAAATAACATGTAAATAATTAGTTTCCATAACCTTCTTGATAATCAATCAAGACTGACAAAATTATGACATTATAACTGTTGACCACCTTGTAATATTGTATTTCCACTGATTTATTTTTGATGATGAGTTTAAAGTTGTTTAGGGCTGGAAGTCCTTTTTACCATTGCCGTAATCTTTTGTTCACTGCATACATTCATAATCAAGTCCAAGTCAGAACTCCAACCGGGTTGCTCTGAAATGTTGCTATTATTCCAGGCTGAAAAATAAAAAAGCAGGTTTTTAAAATTAAAAGATTACTTTGAACCCAGATGTGCCATGGAAAGACTAATTTTAATAAATATTTTATGTAAATTTCACAATCTGAAGTAAACAATAAAAGAAAATGATCTCACATTATTCTTGCTCTTAGCAAACAGAAATAATTGAAATAATTAAATGTGAAAGGAAAGGGTTAATCTGAGTGGAAAAAAAGGCAGGTCATGCGCAAATATCTGCTTCTGAAAATTAGACTAAAGTTTCAGGATACACCTCATACTTGTACTATCCTACAATTTGCATACAATTCCAGGCTAAGAAACACGTGTTTAACCTTATCTGTTTGTTAGGTGCTAAATGTGAGCGTGATGGAGGGAGAGCAGATAACAGTGGAGGACACAGGTGGTCAAGAACCTTTCATCCTCGCCAATGAGTCGGTGCTGATGAGGGGCCTTGTTCTGCGCAGCTGGAGCAACCAGATCTCGATTCGTTTCCGTGGCAATCAGCGGCTCAATTCAGGATTCCTCCTGCTGCACTACCAAGGTGAGCCAAGTCCATTCAGGTCTGATCAATCCAACAATTGTTACATTCATCTTGTTCACAACAGGTCGGAATAGAAAATTAGGCATTTGTAAGCAAACTTTTATCAAATTTTGCCGTTTTTTTTTATTACCGCTTATTGATTTTGGAAAGTGCAATAACATAAAAGTTAACTTTTTTTTAGCTGAGTTTGTAGAGAAGTGTTTGTTTATCTCATAATATTCCCACAGGATCTACGTGGAAAAGCAATAAATTCTGTTCAGCTATCATCATATTTGTGGAGCTGCAGATATAATAAAGTGGTACAGTTCAGTGCACAGTGGACATTTTGTCAACTGTCAGAAATGCTTGTCTGATTTAGCCATGTGAAAATAATGCTTTTATGTTTGATTTCTCACTTAAAGAAAAGACTTTAAAATGCACAGTCCCTCACACAATTGCATGTCCTCCACCTGTTTCAACTGATGTGAAGCTTTAGATAAACAGTGCACCCGATTTGCTTTTCTTCACATGCTATCCTAACTCAGGCTACCAAGGAGGAATTAGGGTCACAGCTCAGAGACGCATTATTTGCTACTGCGACAAATGTTGACCAACGATTTCAGGACGCTGGAGTCTCACCTTTCCGTGTTTCTCGAAAGCAAAGGATGTTTTATCCCACCTGGAGGAAAGCTATGATACGCCTGTTGAACGCAGGATAACTAGGTCAAGGAAGCTGCTATAAGATTCAGACATGTTGACTAAATCATAGACAACTTCATCATTTGATACTGAACACATACAGCAACAGCCCTCCATGAATTCCCATTCTGATCCTCCTGACCTTGCTCCTCCTGTTTTTTACATTTTGCTGAAATGACTTGTAAACTGCTGGTCTGTCTTATAATGTGTATAGATGGAACTTAGAGAAAATGTTATTTTCTTTCTTCCTTCATTTTGGGCCGAAATATTATTACGAATATTATTACCAATATATTACTAATGACTGCTGATGTTGCAGTTTCACTGTGTAAGTAGATCTGAACATTTTTTAAACACATACTTGAAGGACATTATGGTAAACATTCTTTAATGTTTACCTTAACATTTTTTATTTTGTTAATCTCCCCTGCTTTGGTGTGGCTTAAGAATGAATACATTCAGTGTCAGCAGAAAAAAATAGTAAATGTGCTTGCTTTGATGCAGAATAAAAATGTTTTTTTAAGCACTTCTAAGATGGAATAAATAAAAAGTTAATCAAAATCTTGCTGGTGCAAACAGTCAATCTGATGAAGAGCAAAGGGTGGTGCAAACACAAATACATTACATTTTCCACTGAAATACAGTTCTTTGTAAGTTGTTATAATTAACAGAAAATAGTCGTTTGAATTAGCACCATTGATGGGGAATTATAAGTTAATGTGTTAGGAAGTCACATAAATTATAAAGAATGCATGCCACTCAGGTAATTATGATTTGAATAATTTAGAGAGGTTAAGAGTATTGATTGCATCCAATATTTGATGTTTTCTCATCTGAAATATTTTTTCTTTAATATTTTGTTTTGCCAACCAATGACAAATATTCCAAGCTTCTCACTGGTGTCAGCAGGTTTCAGGGAAACATTTAAAGATAGTGCTTCAAATGGTTTCTTTATTTCTTTCTTTCTTTCTGTTTTTCTGCATTTTTAGTTTGAAGGCAAATCAATACATGGAAACATTCAATAGACCAAAAAAATAGTTATGTTAGTTAACACAAAAATATAAATTTTGAGCCAAGAACAAAAAAGCTGAGGTTGTTAAATTAAAGCGAAGGCATTATTTGAGCAGTTAGAAGACACAGACCTCATCTGTACTACAATGTAACGTAAAGGAATTATACAGCAATGCTATACTGTAAAGTCGGGAAACAAACAACATGTAAAGGCTTTTTCCCACATGGCCATTCATCCTGAAGCTGTGAGGATGGACTCCAAACGTAAATCTTAGAGTGAATCTTAAGGTGGCGATCCAGTACCACGATGACAAGAGTGCAAAGCGTGTCGCCAGAAATAAAGATGCTTTGTTCCCAATCTCTATAAATATGATCCATACATTCTTCTCAACCATCCTTTGCTTTTGCATGACATTGATCTTCTGTGCCGCTAACAATGTCTGTTTATCTTAGCAATAACACAAAGCGACCACCAATTACATGCCCCATCGATTTTAGCTGATGGGGGGAAGCCAGTGTACAAAGCATTCGCTCCTCTACTTTAATAGGACACTTTTGGTCAGTTAGGAAATGAAATAAAGCATCTAAACATTGGCGCTGACGTGAGATGAATCCACCCTTGTCAGTTATATGGATATTATTGTGTGGTCTAGGCCAAATGATGACAGTGACAGGTCATTACAGTGACAAGTCATTATAGATTGCACAAGCTATGAGTAGTGATGCAGAATAGCTATGGACAGACGATGATAAATTGTATTTCGCTGTAAACATCTAAAGAGTAACTCTTTAATGTGAGCCAATAGGACAGTGATAAATGTGTTGATGTCAAAATCCATGTATTATTTCACTGTAATTTTACACATAAAGGTTTATCATTCACCCTTACAACTCTAGCTTGCTTTTCCATCAATTCTTTTAAAATTGCAGTGCCTCTCATGTAAGGGATTTATTTTTTTCCTCATTTCATCATGTTAGAGCCAGAAATATCAGAGTGATTTATTGAAATTTCATCACAAAATGCTGTCACATTGGGAAGTGAACGTATACTTTTGGTAAACCAATGCATGAAACATGTGTCATGCATTGGTTTTCACCCCCTTTTACTCTGGTACCTCTAAAATATGATGCAACTAGTTGCCTAAGCTCTGTTCAATCCATCATCTGAAAGATTATGGCAAAAATATTAACTCACTAAGATGTAGCCCTCCACCCAAACTAACAACCCCACAAAGGAGAGCCTTAATAGGCACAGCCGCCAAGAGTCCCATGGTGATTCAGGAGGAGTTGCAGGAATCCGCAGCTCCAGCATGTTGTTTGTTTTGTTGTGACTTTGTAACAGGGACAACAAATAAAAAACTGCTTTTGGCTAACACTGTAGAGTTTTACTTCATTTGTTTTTTATTGCGCACCATCTCATCCCAAACAAATGCCGTACAGACCAAATCAATAAATTAGAATCTTATTAAAAAGTTAATTAACTTCAGTCACTCCATCCACAAAGTGAAGCCCATTATGTAGATTAATTACACTGAGACTGATGTTTTCATGCATGCCTTTATTTGTGTTTATTATGATGAATTTCTGCTTACAACTCATGAAAAAAATGACATTTAATATCATAATATTATATTAGACCAATAAAAAATTACATTTTCATGCAGAAATGTGAGCTTAATAAAAAAATTGTCATCCCTACTGGAGGGTTGTTATTTTCAAAAAATACTTTTGATCTCCCGAAGGAACCTCAGTGAAAGGCACATTCTACTTTTTTTGTTAAATGACAGTACATCATATCCTGGATATATTATTCCCACTGCAATGTATAGTAGAGAGAGCATCATGCAACAAGGATTTTGTTTTTTCACAACTGGGACAAAAACACTGGTCTGACTGAATAGATGAGGCAGTTAAATATAGGACAATCCTGCAGGAAAACCTTTATAATTGACTCCTGTGTTGAGTTTCACCTTCCGGAAAAACAACAATCCCTAAATGGATAGCCAACGAGGGCCATTGTTCTTTCTACTTCTGTACCTCAAACATTTTCCCACATAGTACATAAAAGTAAAGGTTTTACATATCTGCACTTTATGTATACTCGTCATTAAAGGTTTTAAATTTACATCAGAATGAGGAGCTTCAAATCAAATACCAACTTGACCTTCATTAACAAAGGTAAGGTGTATGGGCAAAATATTTCAGAAGTGCTACTGCTGTGAGGCACCCCGCTTTCCATCGACCGAGCATGCAAGTAGGCAGTGGAAAACTTATAAGGGTTGAAAGTGATAACTAAATTTTTATTTTTTTTGTTCTGAGTTGTTATGAGACCTTTTAAAATCGGGTGAGTCATATCTTTACATCAAAAATCCCAACCTGCCAAAGCAACAGCGGTTTTGTTTAGATTAAGATATATTCACGTGCTAGAATATCAACATTGGCTTTTTTTTCCTCCTGTCCTTCAACAGGAAAACTCCTCTAAAAGATCCATGGTCAGGACAAAGGGGCCATCTGGCTTCACCGGCCGGGAGTATAGAGGACAGGACAGAGTGACAGAACAGCAGCAGGCCCAAGGATACTTCACTAAGGGCAGGGAGATCAAAAACAAAACACTCAACAATTACATGTCGAATTGTAATGTGAGGCAGTTAACATATTGTAATTGAGCATAACATCAATTTAAGAAAAACGCAACACACACAGAATATAAAAATGCGTATGAAATCCCATTGCAGAGGCTTATAAAAGCTGAAAACAAATAAATAAATCACCAGCTTCAGCAAATAAAGAAAACTTCTCACAGGTTGCTCTTAACTTCTTAAGTTGTAAATTAAATTACCATGAATTCTCCTCTCTGCTGTTATATTTGCAAGGAATGCTTGATTGACAAAATAAAAGGTACAATTTTATGATGGTGCTGCAAATTTAGGTACAACGATGAAGAAAGGCAATGGGCAGTTTTGTTAAGAAAAAATAAAAATGTCGGGTTTGTGTTTCTCTGCTTCGTAAGCAGAATATCACCTTGTCCTTTAGAATGGGCTGTAAGTAATGTGTCCCGACAAGCGTGGAAAAGGAGACAGAACCGTGGAGAGGTTCTTCTCTGCTCCAGGTAATTAATATCTTCTACAGCGTTAGCTCTTTCTGTGATGACAGACTGATGGATGCCTCTATTACATCAGCAGTGTGCCTGACACTCGGAACATGATTTAAGATGCGTTCTATGTTTAATGCAAAGACAGTAGGAAGTAAGGGTGTGGAATAAAGGAGGAGACACCACTTTCAGCACGTCTCCTCACTATTGTCTTTTACAT